CACCCCAGAGCAAGGGCAAGGAAGTAGTTGCAATAAATGCCTTTTATGATCTAATCTCAGAAGTCACACCTTGTAAAAACCAAACCAAACCAAACCAAACCACCCCACCACCAATAAAAAAAACCAACCTGAAACCAGGCCAAACCTGTTGTTTGATCTTTTCAGACCTATAGGGATACTTATGTGTTACAAAGTTAAAGGTTATTTTTTTGGCTGTCTGATGGCCTAATATGCAAGGAGTTGTGCAGCCAACAACATAAAGGCATGTGATTAGAATCTACCAGCTGCTCTAAGAGAAAAACATCGACAGTCTCCTTATTAAGGTGCCTATAAAGATGTCTGTATGGACATTTATTTTTCTCATTTGAGTAGCTATGTGTAGAATGACTGGTTAGTAAGGTAGATTTGTGTGTAACTTTTAAAGAAGCTACTAAATTGTTTATTGTGCCATCATACAAAACTTGAAGAGTTCCAGTTCTTCTGATATATATATTCATTGATTCTTTGTTACATTTCTCTCCCCCCCCCAAGTCCACTTTGCAATGCACTTCTTATTCTAGATTGTTGTTATACATATAATGCTCAATCGTATATTCTTTTCGGACAATTCTTCCCCTCATCTGTTTTAATCCAGTGTTCATTACATATCCACTCTTTAAATTTAATAATTCAACAGACTAGTCAGACTCATTGCTATCAATTCATACCAACTCATAGCTGATCCTCCAGTGGGATTTTGGAGGCTGTTAATTGTACAAGAGGAGATTGCCTGTCATTCTCCCACAGGGCCCCTGGCAGGTCAGAACTGACAGGCTCAGCCTTTGAGTTAGCGCTAGCTTCAATCTTTTCTCTATCTAGCATGAATGTTAAATTGAATATACTGTGGATCACCAGAAGAATGAACAAATCTTTTTTGAAATAAATACAGCCAGAATGCTCCTTAGAAGTGAGGATGATGGGGAGACTTCACCTTATGTCCTTTGAACATGTTATCAAGAGGGAGTGAGCTCTTGGGAGGAAGTTATGTTTGGTAAAGTAGAAGTGTGAAAGAAAAAGACTCAGTACGGTTGGTTGACAGTGATTGCACTATGGGCTCAAATGCAGTGATTATCTGTAAGGATCGTGTGGCTACACAGTGGTTCATTTTGTTGTACATGGAGTTACTATGACTTAGCACCGACCAGGTGGCCCCTCAAAACAAAAGCATGGAAACAAACTGAGCTTAATTTTGTAAGATGTGATGTGGGAGGTCTTTTATGACAAATTTTGAATTTATATTCTGTTTAGATTACCCATTTCTTCTTGTTTGAATTTCAGTAGTGGTTTATGTCCTTCAACGAGATTTTCCAGTTTACCTGTCCCGTTTATTGATATAAAATTATTAATATCAGTCCCTTGTTACCATGTAGATGCTGTAGTGAAATCTTACCTCTCTCCTTCTTGATGCTGAAAATTTTGTCTCCTTTCTTCCTAAGGATCTTGGAGGTATCAATTTTATAGATTTTCTCCAGAAAGACCTTTTGGTTCAGTGACTTATCTCTGTTGATTTTCTAATTAATTCACCTCGGCATGTTTCCGTCCATCTGTTTAGTTTAACATAACGGCAGGGGTGGGGAATTGTTTTCTTTCTGGAGGTAAATTGACAGATTTTGAAACTCTATATTAAGTCAAGATATGTTTGTGTGAGTTGGAGTTTGTGTTTATGTTTTTTAGTGTTTGTTGTTATTAGATGTTGTCAAATACAACTCAGTAGGACTCTATGAGCAACATACCTGAACTCTGTCCTGTCCGGTGCCAACCTCACAATCTCTGCCACACTTGAGCCCATTGATACAGTCACTGTGTCAGTCCACCTTCCTCTCTTTGACCATCTACCTTCCTTTGTAAGCATGATACTCTTCTCTAAGAAATAGCCTATATACCCAAAGTGTATACAGAGATAAGCTGCCCTACCCTTGCCTCCAAGGAGCACTCTGGCTGCACTTTCTCCAAGCCATATTTGTTCTTTTGGCAGCCATGGGATATTCAGTACTCTTCTTCAACACTATAGTTCAATAACATCAGTTTCTTCTGTCATCCTTGTTCAGTTTCCAGCTCTCAGCAGGGAAATGATTGAGAGGACCATGGTCTGAACTAGGGAAGAGTATAAAAATTTACTGATAAAGTGCTCGCTTCGGCAGCACATATACTAAAATTGGAACAATACAGAGAAAATTAGCATGGCCCCTGTGCAAGGATGACACGCAAATTCGTGAAGCGTTCCATATTTAAAAAAAAATTACTGATAGCAAAATTTCAGAAAATGGAATTTTAGAAATATTTAAAAAGCAAACATGCAAAGGATTGAGTGAATCTCCACCTCCCTACTTCTCATTAATAGGAGGACATGGGATTTTTCAAAAGTACTTAATTTTTTACTCTTCATTTGGTATCGGTTGCAAACTCTGTTGTACATCTGTAAATTATGAGAGTAGTTGGAGTTCCCCTTTTTATGAAATTTATGATACATGTTGTTAGGTGCCATCAGGTCATCTGTGACGTGACCCATAGCGACCCGATGTATAACAACTCTAAAGCCTGCCCTGTCCAGAGTCAGTCTTACTTACCGACTCCCGACACACCTACCCCTGTTGCCGTAGTCACTGTATCAATCCATCTCGTGCAGGATCTTTCTCTCCTGCACTGTCCCTTTACTCTTCAGAGCATGATGTCCTACTCCAAGGACCAGTCACTCCTGGTTATGTGACCAGAGTATGTGAGATGCAGATTTGAAATTCTAGCCTCCAAGGAGAAACTTATTTTCACTCCCTTCAAGACAGACTTACTGACTATCAGAATTAAATATGACCCATTATTTAAATCATCATTAACATGTCATTGAGTTGGAACTGACTCATAATTGACTGTCTACTGGATTTTCAGAAACTGTAAATCTCATAGGAGAAGATTGTCTGTCTTTTTCCTGTGGAGCACTTTGTGGATTCAAACTACATGCCTTTCTCTTGGCAACATTACTCCTTACCCTGTAGCCCACCAACACCAAGAAAACAAAAAATAACCACCACTGGACCAAAAGGCAACATCATGATAGATAGAGATTTCATCGTGCTTGAATCCACAATCAACACCCTTTGTACCAGCAGTCAGGAAGTCAAAAGACATGTTGTATTGGGAAGATCTGCTGTCAAGGACTTCTCTAAGATGCTAAGGAGCAATGATGTCAATTTAAAGACTAAGGTGTACCACATTCATGCCATCATCTTTTCAGTTACTTTTAATGCATCTGGAAGTTGGGCAGTGACTAAGGATGACAGAAGAAGAATCAGTGCCTTTGAATTTTGGTGTTGAGGAAGAGTACTGAATATCCCATGGACTGCCAAAAAAAATAAACAAGTATGTTTTAGAAAAAGTACAACCAGAGTACCCCTTAGAGGCAAGGGTGGTGAAACTTGATGTCATATATTTTTGTCATGTTACTAGGAGGGACCAGTCCTTGAAAAAGACCTCATGCTTGGAAAAGTGGAGAGTCAATGGGCGTGAGGAAGACCCTCTACAAGATGAATTGTCACGGGATTCAGATAGATATTCAAGATAAGGAGGATGGCACAGGAGAGGACAGGATTCAAGTCAGCTGTTCGTAGGGTTACTCTGAGTAACTATGTTACTATGTAAGTTACTAAGAGTTATACTTAATGACACCTAACAACACAGTCATTTAAATGGAGTGAAATACTGTTCCAAGGAGTATTTTCATTGCCTTTAATATAAAAGATTAAACATGTTTATTTGAACTAAAAAAATGTAAAACATTAGAATTCTTGCTTCTAATATAAGTAAAAAAATGTATTGCGATGGGAAAGTCTGTGGTTAGGGACCTCTCTAAAGTACTCAAGAGCAACGGTGTCTCTGGAGACTAAGGTGCACCTGATACAGGCCATGGTCTTTGCAGTCACTTGTTAGGCATCAGAGAGTTGGACAGTGACTAGGGAGAATAGAAGGAGAATTGATGCCTTTGAGCTGTGGTGCTGGAGAAGAGTATTGAATGTTCCATGGACTGCCAAGAACACAAACAGATTCATCCTAGAGAGGGTTAAACTGGGCTGCTCCTTGGAGGCAAGGATTCTGGGGCTTCGTCTGAGATACTTTGGACATGTTGTAAGGAGGGACAGGTCCTTGGAGAGGGACATCATGCTTGGGAGGGTAGAGGGACAGCGAAGGGAGGGGAAGACCCTCTATGAGGTGGATTGATTCAGTGACTGGGGTAATCGGGATGGGTGTGTCAGAGGCCATGCGATTGGCACAGGATAGAACAGGGTGTAGGGCTGTTGTACATAGGGTTGCTATGAGTCGCAAACGACTTGACGGCACATAACAACAACAATATAAGTAACCTCTAATTAAGGTTTTATTGTTACCATCTATTTGGAACTGACTCATAGCTGACCCTTGGGACATTTCAAAGGCAGTAAACCACATGGGAGGAGATTGCTTTCTCCTAGGAGCAGTTAATGGATTCAAACTTAGGGCCTCTGGGATTAGAGCGCAGCTGCCTACCACTTGGCCAACAGAACAACCTCTAACTATAAAATGACCTTAGTTAAAACCCCATAAAACTAATTAAGGTAGTTCTGGATTTTTTCGTTGAATGTATTTTGATGTAATGGAGCAAGAAGAGTCTGTAACAGATGGAAATCAGTTGTTTTCCAAAAAATTAAAATCAAGGAAATAGATTGCTGTATTATTTGAGCATTCTTTTTAAAACTTAAAGCACTTTTCCTATTTTCTAGAAATAGAAGCAGTTTTATTTTTGACAAGTTAAAATTGGCTCACCAGTCAACTTTAGTTCTTCTAAAGTTCGTATTGCATATGTGGTCTTGAATAAGAAGAGGTGTTATTAAAGTTTGAGCATTGGTAGAGGAATATGGTCTTTACTGATCTAATGGAAGATTTTTGTATTTATTTAATTTTGTAATTGTTAAATGTTTTATTTTATCTTTTAGATCCTGTTTGATCAAACTCAGAGATCAATTAAAGCACAGCTTCAAAACTTTGTTAAAGAGTAAGTCAATTGCAGTGGAGAGAGAGGCAGAACAACCAGTTAATAATCACTGGTAATTGGTATCTTTTGAAAGAAGTTATGGAACATGAATTACTGAAAATATTAAAGTTCTCTTCCTTTTTTAAATTGTCCAATATATATTGCATTTTTTTGGTATGTGAATTACTTATAAGGAAATAAGATTTTGTGTGTTTCAGTGGTTTCTTTATACCATGTGTTAAGTATGTGTGTACGTGTGTGTGTGTGTGGTGGTACTGTCGTACGTGTGTGTATTAAGTCGGAACTGAGCTATAGCTGATCTTCCAAGTGTGTTTTCAGAGCCTGTAAATTGCATGGGAGGAGATTACCTATCTTTCTTCCACAGAGCAGCTGGTGGATTTGAACTCCCTGACTTTGGATTGATGGCACAGCTTCTTACCCACTAACACCAGTGTGTGTGTGTGTGTGTGTGCGCGCGCGCGCGTGTGTATACACACACATACACACAATTTTAATTTTAATAAACAACCTAATGGCCCTTCAAAATCAAGGGAAATCCAAAATGTAGTTTAGATACTATTGCTTATTACAATTGAAACTAAGTTTACCATTGCCTCAATTACGA